TGTTACCATATTTTATACCATTCAATATCCAACTACACCATAATTCTTCACCATTATTGTGTTATTATTTTTTATGGTATTGTTATTATTGTTGTTCTTGTTAATGTATTTGTTCTTTTTAATTTTATTATCTTTTTCTTCTTTGTAATTCGTAAATAGTTATTGTTATTATGGTGCAAAGATCGGTTATATCACGTGTCTGCATCGATTTATGAAGGATTTTCGTAATTGATCGGCCACGAATCAATAAAAAAAATGGAAAATAAAAAAAATAAAAAGAAAAAGAAATCAGCTGCAGTAGCAGCAGCAGAGGAAAATTTAGAGGAAGTGGAAAATGTGGAAAAGGCGGAGGAGGCGGATGAAGTGAATGAAGTGGAAAGGGAGGAAGAGGAAGAAGAGGGAGGCGGAGAAGGAAAAGATAAAGCAAAAAATAAAAAAAAGAAAAAGAAAAAGAAATCAGCTGCAGTAGCAGCAGCAGAGGAAAATTTAGAGGAGGTGGAAAAGGTGGAAGAAGCGGAAGAAGTGGAAGAAGTGGAAAAAGAGGAAGAGGAAGAAGAGGGAGGTGGAGAAGGAAAAGATAAAGCAAAAAATAAGAAAAAGAAAAAAAAAAAGAAATCAGCTGCAGTAGCAGCAGTAGAGGAAAATTTAGAGGAGGCAGAAAAGATGGAAGAAGTAGAAGAAGCGGAAGAAGCGGAAGAAGCGGAAAAGGAGGAAGATGAAGAAGAGGGAGGTGGAGAAGGAAAAGATAAAGCAAAAAATAAGAAAAAGAAAAAGAAAAAGAAGCCAGCAGCAGCTGCTGCTGCTGTAGACGATAAAAAAGCACCAAAAAAGAAGGGACAACTTGCTGCAATTAAAGCAGCCTTGGAGGCACAACGGTAAACAGCTTGATAAATTATTTGTAAAATTATTTAGTGATTGATCGAATCTTTACATAACTATGTTTGTTTATTTATTTCAGTGCTATTGAGGAAGAAAGAAAACGACAAGAAGAAGAAGAACAAAGAAGAATTGAAGGTATAAATTAATCGATAGTTTATATAATTTCATCAGAAATAAATACTTACTTTTTTTTTCAAAAAATATTTCTAGAGGAACAAAAAAAGATCGAAGAAGAAATACGTCGTAAGGAAGAAATTAAACAGAGAAAGAAAGAAAGAGAAAGGGTAATCAATAACTTTGAATAAATATAATCAAAATTTCTTGTACAATTAACTAGTTAATGGCTGGTATTATTTTTTCTAAAATGATTTCATATCAAAAATTTAGGCAAAAAAAGAGCAACTTAAAAAAGAAGGAAAGCTTTTAACGAAATCTCAAAAAGCAAAGAAGCAACAAGGTGAACTACGTTTACAACAATTGCTTCAGGCTGGTACTGGTATCAAAATTGAAGGGTTTGAAAATAAACAAGCTGGTGAACAACCAAAAAAACCTAATTATTCCAGTAAAAAGAAAAAAATAATCAAGTCACAAGATAAAGTTGAAGACAAAGAAGAGGAAAATAAGAAGATTGAATCAGATAAAGAGGAGGAGCAGGAAGATGAAGAGGAGGAGGAAGATGAAGATGAAGAAGAGGAGGAAGATGTCAAAGTTAAACCTAAAAATGAACAAGTTATAAAAGAACAATGGGATTTAAGCTCAGAAGATGAAGAGAAGGAAGGTGTGGAAGATAAAGTTCAGGAAAAAGGTGCGAAAGGTAAAAAGAAGGAAGTGGGGACGAAAGATAAAGAGAAGGAAGAAGGTGTGAAAAGTAAAGAGCACGAAAAAGGTGTGAAAGGCAAAGAGAAGGGAGGGGGAGCGAAAGGCCAAAAGAAGGGAGTGGTGGCGAACGATAAAGGGAAGGAAGAAGAAGCGAAAGGTAAAGAGAAGGAAGATGGTGCGAAAAGTAAAGAGAAAGTTGTATCTTCTAAAAAAGGTAATAGTTATATATTAAATATCATGGTCATATTTGTTTGTGTTGGAGTTATTATATTGAATTTTCTGTTAAAACTGCAAAATAGACTCTGAAGAAGAAACTGAAAGCAGCGAGGAAGAATCAGATAGTGAAGATGAAGAAATGACAGAACATCAGAAACAAATTGCAATTCGTAAACAAGAGGCGGCTGAGCGTCGACAAGTAAATGTTCAAAATTGATTAATTATTTGATTATTCAATAAAACATTGAATTAATAATTTGATTTGATATTACTTTTAATTAACTTTATTAATTTATTATAGAAACGACATGAAGAAGCTCTTGCTGCTCGCTCCAAAGAGAATTTGAGGTCTCCGATCTGTTGTATTTTGGGGCATGTTGATACTGTAAGTTGTCAGAGTTCAATAATTTTAACACGGTTAACTTGATTAATTGTTATGATGTTACTCATCCTTTAATAGGGTAAAACAAAATTACTGGACAAAGTTCGTAAAACAAATGTTCAAGAAGGTGAAGCTGGTGGTATTACTCAACAAATAGGTGCTACATATTTTCCTATGGAAGTTATCAAAACTAAAACTGCTCCCCTTAATAAGGTTACACGTGATTCATAATATTATTTCAAAAGTTATATTTTGTATTAAAATTTATATTTTATTTATATAGGATGGGAAACAAGAATACAAACTTCCGGGTTTGTTGATCATAGATACACCTGGGCATGAATCTTTTACAAATCTACGAACTCGGGGCTCTTCACTCTGTAATATTGCTATTCTTGTAGTTGATATAATGGTAAAAAAAAACTTTTTTTACTTATTTTGATTATTTAATAAACAAATAGCTTTCGCATGCATATTTATATAGTTTATTTAATAGCATGGCTTAGAACCACAAACATTAGAGTCTTTAAGGTTGCTGCGTGATCGTAAAACACCATTTATTGTGGCTCTAAATAAGGTTTATAAAGAATTCTGAATTGGATTTACACTATATTTATATATTTTTAATAAAATGCACATTATATATTTGTTGTCCAGATTGATCGTATTTATGGTTGGAAAACTATACCAGATAATGCCTTTCGAGATTCACTCGAGGAACAGTCGGATACTGTCAAAAGGGAATTCCAAGACAGGGTTGAAAAGGCTATTTTAGCATTTTCAGAGCAAGTAAGTATAGTTTAAAATAAATAAATAAAGATTGTTATTCACATACATACATTCACATACACATATTTACTTGATAAAAATAATATTTACACGACTGACAGGGATTGAATTCTTGTTTGTATTATGAAAACAAAAACTTTGCAAAATATGTTTCAATTGTTCCTACATCGGCTGTCACCGGAGAAGGAGTTCCAGATATGCTAATGTTGCTTATAAATTTAACACAATCCAGGATGAGTAATGAGTTGATGTATCTTTCTGAAACAGAATGTACAGTTTTAGAAGTCAAGGTTGTTGAAGGACTTGGTACAACTATTGATGCGGTTTTGTCTAATGGGGTATTGAATGAAGGAGATAAAATTGTTTTATGTGGTGTTAATGGACCAATTGTAACAGTTATTCGTGCTTTATTGACGCCACAACCTTTGAGAGAACTTCGTATCAAGTCAGCATATGTGCATCATAAAACTGTGAGTGCAGCTCTTGGCGTTAAAATTGCAGCCCAAGACCTTGAAAAGGCTATTGCAGGATCTCGTGTCATGGTTGTTGGTCCTGATGACGATGAAGAAGACCTTAAAGATGAGGTCATGTCAGATCTTAAGGATTTAATGAGTTCTGTTGACAAATCTGGAAAAGGTGTATGCGTACAAGCATCTACGTTAGGCTCTTTAGAAGCACTTATAGAGTTTTTAAGAGTATCAAATATTCCAGTCTCTGGAATAAATATTGGGCCAGTTCATAAAAAAGATATTATGCGTGCTGCTATAATGTTGGAAAAAGCTAGAGAGTAGGTCTTATTTTTAATTTATTACTATTATTTTATTATTAACTCAAATATCTCATTTAATTTTTTTAAAAAAAAAAAAAAAATAGGTTAGCTGTTATGTTGTGTTTTGATGTTAAAGTTGATAAAGATGCACAAGATCTGGCTGATGAATTGGGCGTAAATATATTTAAAGCTGATATTATTTATCATTTATTTGATCAATTCACGGCTTATAATAAAGTATGTTTTATTTTTATTTTTTAATTTTGCAAATAATATTGATTTATTTTTAGAAATAAAATAATTCACCAACGTGTTTGAATAGGAAATATTGGAACAAAAACGTAAAGATCAAGCGCCTCAAGCAGTTTTCCCCTGTATTTTAAAGATCATTGCAGTATTTAACAAAAGAGATCCTATTATAGTTGGTGTTGATGTTGCAGAAGGAGTTTTACGTACAGGAACTCCGATCTGTGTTGTAAAAACAGATCCAACAACCAATGTAGGTGTCATTTCTATTCATTGAACCATGTGATTAAGTGAATTATTTTAAATTGATGAAATTTATTTATTTTAGGTACGAGAAATTATTACCCTTGGAAAAGTGACTAGCATTGAACAAAATCATAAATCTATTGAGCAAGTGAAAAGAGGCCAAGTAAGCGGAGGGGTTGCTATAAAAATTGAATGTCCTGTGTACGAAACACCAAAGTTGTGTGGACGGCATTTTACAGAATCGGATGATTTGTGTAGTAGGGTAAATACATTAAATATTTTTTTTATTCATCTATTTTTTTTATTCTTTCAACTAAATATTTATACATATATAATTTTATTATTATTATTATTATTATTATTAGATAACACGTCAATCTATTGACATATTAAAAGAGTCATTCAGGAATGATTTGAGTAAAGAAGAATGGCAATTGGTTGTTAAATTAAAAAAAATTTTAGACATAAACTAATAATTTATATTGTAGATCTTATATAATATTTAATTTTTAAAAAAAAATATATATATTTAATATAATCGATTAAATGTAAATAATAATAAAATTTATCTTTATTTACTTGTTAATTATTTTCTTTTTTTCAATATACAATGAAAAATCTTTTCAAACAAATTTCATCAAATAAATCAATAAATTATTTTTTCTTACCAGAAGTATTTTTAATTCTTCTTTTCTTTACAGATTTTGGCATTTTATTCTTTCTTTTGTCTCTTGCTACTTCTTTGACAAGTTTTTTATGTTCCTTAATATCGATTAAAATAATAATAATAAATTTTTAACAATGTGTGAAATTTTAATTAATACATATTTTTATATTTACTTTTTTAGCCTCTTTATCCATATTTTTTTTTCCTCTAGACTTATATTCAAATAAGATATCTCCATTATCAATACCGGTATCATCTTCATTACTATCATGATTATCACCATCATCATCATCGTCGTCGTCGTCGTCGTCATCATCATCATCATCAGAGTTTTTGTCATTATTAATGTCATTAGGATTATTTATTATTTCTTGTGATTTATTTGCTTTCGCAATTGTATTGTTGTCGTTAGATATTGAAAGACCCACAAGTTTACGATAAATCAACTAGAATAACAACAATAATAAAATAAATCAGTTTTAATACTTATCAAAGATTGATTATTGGATATTTAAGCATCTATATAATTTACCTCATCACCATCACCCTTATTTATTATATCAGTATCTCTCTCAGCATCAATCACATCAATTAATGTTCTTGGTATGAAGGACTTTTTGAATACTTCTTCATCAACAGAATTTTTTGATTCTTTAGATCCTTTATCAGTACTGTCTTCTCCTATTTCTTGTTGCTCTTGTAGATTCATTTTTTCTTGAATCTATCAATAAAACTCCCATTAAAATTTTTAATCATTCAAAAATTTTTTTTTGTTTTCACGCTTTATTTAAAATGACCTTGTCAAGCTCATTGTCAATTTGTTCATCCTCTATCCCGAATCCTAAATCTGTAATAAAATCAAATAGTTCTTTGATATTCATCACTTTTACATCTTTTTTCCGAAAATATTCCGTAATGTTATCACAATCTTTTCTCAAAAATCCTAAAGCATGCGGATGATCATGTTCTACAGATTGTGACACATCTATAATATATAGTTTCCTTGAATTATATCTGAAAACATTCGAGTATTAGTAAAAAGTTTTTTTTTGACGCAAGTAATTATTTTATCAATGCTTATAAAACTTACAATAAATTGTATTCACTTAAATCTGCATGAACAAGCCTACATTTATGAAACATAATCCTCATATTTTTAATAATTTGATAGTACAATTCTGGATAAATATCGGATTTAATATTTGCGTCTTTTAGTCTTGGATATGCCCTTTAATTAAATAAATAAATCATTTCAAATCATTAATCGTTAAAAGAAACAAACAAAAATTTATAAAATATAAATTTATATTATATATCTGTACATCTATATCTTACCATCCATTTTTATCACCTAAAAAACTCATCACTAATACATGCAACTTTAACAGAATAGGTTCTGGACATGGTAAATTAGCTTGCCATAATCTTTTCAAATTTCTCATTTCCTTTTCCGCCCATAATTTTACCATTTTGCGTGGATTATGTTTATTATATCCATGTCTAAATCTAAATTCTCCTGTTACGTAACGGTCACGATCTTTAAATATTAATATTGAGGTTTTATAAACTTTTATAGCCCTGTGATCATTTGACTCTGTTGTTGCATGATATACATTTGCCTTATAACGGCGATAAAAGTAGCAGTAATAGTAATTATTGTTATTATTAAAATCAATTTTAATAATTGTGAAACAAATTTCTTGACTTTGTGAAATGAATGACTAATTAAAATTACTTCTTTTCCTGTACTTATACAACCATTGATTTCATATATTAAATTACTATTTATTAATTTAAATAATATAATTCTTGTACGTGGATCTAATACTTGTTCTGTTGTGGCACGGTCTGATTTATCACTATATTTTTGTCTGTCATATTAATCGATCAAAAAAGTAAAGCAAATTGTTTAATTAATTTATCGATTAATGGCTAAACTTTTTTGTCTTCTTCTTTCAAAAAATCCTTACTTTTCTCCTTGAGCTTTCTTGTTACTCATTTTTATATCGTTTGTTACAGATGATGAGAAGTTACTAGTATCAACATCGCCTATATTATTTTTTTACAGAAACACGTATAATGTAAATTCCCATTCTTTTTTTGCAAAATCCCTTCTTATTAATGATAAAATATACTACTTGCCAAGATGAATCCTATTTGTATATTTACTTAGAATTTTCATATGATTTTGTAATTTCGCTTCAAAAGATGAACAAGGACACACGTATATATTTATAGCATAACGATTCTGTTAATAATAAACAAACAAGAAAAAAATGCATTTACCACCACTAGCATTACTCCGTCCGTCGTTATCATTTAATTCATCCTCAAAAAAATCTTCTTCATCATAATCTTCTTCATAATTATAAATGTCAACTTTATGGTTATCTCTTGACATATCACTTGAAATTTTTTCTTCCACTACATCGTCAAATTGACCCTTCTCATATTTAGGTACATAAATTTTTGGCATTTTTTTTCGATGAAAAAAAAAATAAATGTGCAACAAAATAGGAATTGATTGACTTCGCCATTTAAATTTGCAATTTTTTTTAATTGATTTTAATAAAAATATACATAAGATAAATGAAATATTAATATAATATATATATATATAATAAATTAAGAAAATATATATAATTAAAAAACGAAAAAGGATTTTTATTAATTTTCTATAAAAAATTTGATCATGTATACATATTATATGAGACCCGCATCCATTTGCCTGCGAAAATATTTAACAGTTTCGTATATACCTTGTTTTACTGGCCATCTTGGTTTCCAACCAAGAATTTGTTCTGCTCTTTTGATATCTGGTCTTCGTTTTTTAGGATCATCTTTTGGAGCAGGCAGTTTTTTAATCTTACAAGAATTATTAACCTCATTAATGATTAATTCAGCAAACTCACGTATAGTATATTCATCAGGGTTTCCCAAGTTAATTGGCTCTTTATAATCTGTATTCATCAGTAAAATTAAACCATCCACCAAATCATGAATATATTGAAAAGATCGAGTTTGTAAACCATCCCCGTAGATAGTAAGTTCTTCTCCTTTCAATGCTTGCATAATGAAATTGCTTACTACACGACCATCATTTTCATGCATACGAGGTCCAAAAGTATTGAATATACGTGCCACTCTTACATCCACAAAATCTTGGTTCATATAAGCATAAGTTAATGTTTCTGCAACTCTTTTCCCTTCATCATAACAAGCTCTAGGACCAATAGGATTGACATGTCCCCAATATGCTTCTGTTTGAGGGTGTTGTTCTGGATCTCCATAGACTTCTAACAATTATTAATATTTTGTAAATAAAAATAAATATATATGTTTTCAATGATGCAACTATCAATCAATCTAATTAATAGTACTAATACTATTTAAGAGTTCTAATATTAAAAACTTTTCATTTTTGTTATAATTTGATTTTTATAATATCTAATAATTTATTGTCAATAATTAATTAAATATTAAACTTATATATATACTCACAAATAATAGACAAAATTATAATATTCTTTGTCACTAATATTTTAACGTCAATTCAATTATGTCTATAGACGAAAATCAAAGAAAAAATTAATACATGCCTGATGTAGATGTTAACAGAAAACGAGCTTTAACTCTTTTAGCAAGTCCAAGCATGTTTATTGTGCCCATTACACTTGTTTTTACTGTCTTTATTGGATTATATTGATAATGTGGCGGAGACGCGGGACAAGCCAAATGGTAAACTTGATCTACTTCTATTAAAAATGGATCTACTACATCATGACGGATTAATTCAAAATTAGGATGCCCTATCCAATGAGCAACATTATTCTTACGACCAGTAAAGAAATTGTCAAGTACGATTACTTCATGACCCATTAGCATTAATCTATCAACTAAATGAGAGCCAACAAAGCCTGCACCTCCAGTAACTAGTATTCTTTTTTTCTCATCAGATCGTAACGACTTTACAGGAAAAAATGATTGCGATTGAAGGTAAGATATTGTTCTCGTTGTTGGATCAAAAATCCTGTCCTGTTGTTGTCCAGGAAGATATAGTTGTCTTAGAATATCAAGAGGAACTATGGATTTCACGGAATCATGACCTACTGACAATGCTGTCTTTTCGTCTTGATCATTATCCTTGCTATTATTTATATTATTTATATTATCTGCATAAATAAATTAGTCGCATTATTTTGAAAAGCTTTTTATAAATTAAAACACTTGGAATTATTCCGTGTAGAAAAATATATTTTTTAAAATGAGCGTACTCTTTTAGAAAAATACTCACTTTGATTTGAAGCATCCTGTGTACTTTTTTTAGAAGTTGCTTTTGCAGTATCTTTATTAATGTTATAATTGATCAGAAAATTGAAAGCTATAATTTTAGTAAAATTGACAGATAAAGTGAACTTACGTAGAGAAGCATCGGAACTATCAGGAGTCTCTTTTTCATTTTTTGAAAGCTTTTCCATTTTGACAAGTTGGGAAAAAACAAAATGAAAATTAATTAGCAAATTTTATCACATGAATTAGGAAAGATCCCTAAATTTTGGGGTATCCATAGTGGGACATTCGTTTTATCACTTGTGACAAAATCGATCGTCGATCTTTTTTTATATTGTGAAACTTGCTATTTCAATTAGAAAAAAGTCGCGTGACTGCGCACAAAACCCATTTTATGGAGAAAAAATTTTTTAATATAAATATATATATCGCTTTGACTCAGAAGTAAAAGTTTAAGGCTTCTGTGATCTTGTATGTCAGAATTGTGTCATTATTATTATTATTATTTATTATATAACATTTTCCTTTATTAATAAGTCATTATTATACTTGCAAGTAAAGACTTATTCTATATTCTCATTATTATTATACTCTAAAGAAACAAGTATTTATTTTGTATATTTGATTAGCTTATAACTTATATTCAACTTTTCCAGTAGTACGAAGATCATATAATAGGTTATATCTTGATTTTTTGATGCATTTAAAAAACAAGGATTTTTAAAAACATATTTAAAATATTTCTTTTATATTTATTATATTTATATTTACATTTATATTTATATTTACATTCATTTTTATTTTTATTTTCAAATTCATATATTCATATTCATGCCACCAATTTATTTATTTATAAGAAATGACACATATATATATATATACAGTATTATATAATGGATGATAATTCATGATCAAAGGTAAAATGTTGATTTGATGAAGTCAATGAAAAGTT